CAGAGGAGGAACCATTAATATAGAAGCAACGGCCTCCCCAGCTAGAATGAGTAAGAGAGAAAGTGAATGTGATATGATGGGATCAACAAACACTGGACCATGGAGCTGCTCGGGATGAGCACCCTTGAAGAACGGGGCAAATGAAAGAATGGGAAATACTGTCAGGCCGTTCGGAACAAACCTGCATGAAGTAATTTGTCGCATTACATAGACAACACGTGACGATATATATACTATGAGTATTTATGTTGGTGTTTATTAGAGCAATTATAGCATTATACTATTTAGTTATTTACAGGTGTTGTTTTGATTGTGGTCGGGCATTTTATTTCTACTCCCATTTGATTTCCTTATGGAGCAGCTGCACTCTTCAGAATCAGTTGTGATGTTCTACAATGCGTTCAACCAATGAGGAAACTGTGCAACACCACTGGGCGGGAACAACACTCCTCACAGATTGCTGTTGTAACTGCTGATAGCAGAATGAGTCATTAGCGGTGAAAAATGCGCACTGTCAGGTGGCCTGATTTTGTCAGTGCAACATCACATTAATAGTCAGTCTTTGTTAGAGGTGTCGATAGGCAGTTGACATTTATACCGAGATAACGTTCACTATTGGACAGCGAGTGTTCATTGTCGAAACTTTGCAAGGAAAAAAGTTACAGAAAATGTATCCATAAGTTTCGTCGTAAATATCCTGACTTGCCAGTTCCCACAAAGTCATGTGTATCCAAGCTTGTGAAAAAGTGGTAGGCCACAGGTTCAGTGTATGACATAAAGAAGCAAAGGTTCATGATAGTGAGGCATGACTATAGATCACTCCTCGAAAATAGTGAAGATGCTCAGCACAGGAAACCGGTGTTTTGCTAGAATTTGCTTTCATGGTCACAAAAATTAATCAAATTTCGCCCATATAAAATAACAGTTGTGCATGAGCCGAAACAACCAGATTATGCAGCAAGAATTCGTTTTTGTAACTGGCTGATTCTGGCTTCATTGGGTGTTACATTCCAATTACAATTCATTAAATATAAGAGAAAGTAACTTTTATCCGTTAGAGAGCTACGTGAAGAGGAAGGACCAAGGGAATCACATGAATAGAGTGTTTCCTCGTCGCCCAAGTAATAGGGCATATCAATTTAAGACATACTATCAAGAGGTTAAGGATGACCTATTCTGCGAGCAAAGTGTAAATTATATTCCAACTATTGTTAATGGACATTTAAACTTTAATAATCTGCCTCTTGCAAGTGACAATATCACTATTAACACACTGTGGACCAGACGGGCCACATGGCCCTCTATGTTTCCAAGTGTTGCGGACCGGGCGGACCATATGGCCCTCTACGCTCATGTTATGTTGCAAAACGCTATATATCGCTGTGTGGCTTCGTTGAATCGTAACTACTGCGTAGATGACCTCGGGAATGATTGCTGCCTTATCTAGTAACTCGACCAGAGTCATTTCCTGTCACAACCTAAACAAAATTGGCTTTGTTCTAATCCAAGCTTGCACGTATGAACCACGCAGCTACCAGTTCAACATGGCTCAGAGACGAAAGCAGTTGCGATCTCT